ACATCAAGTGACCACTGTCCTTGGTCTTGCTATCTATGCCAACCCACCCAACCACCTGGATGCAGAGAGAAGAGACTTCTGGCATGCCCGCTTTACTGAGTGGCAGGCTTTGAGGAACGATCCTAAGTATCGTCAGTGCCCAGCAATTGTCATGGGTGATTTCAATTTGCATAACCCAAACCTCACGCCGAAAGATGCTGAGCTTGCAAGACCTATTGATCGCGAGATGTGGCAACTCCTCACAAGCGCCCACGGATTCGGACTAGAAGTTCTGAACCCACCGCTGCAGCCTACGCACATCTCGGGCTCAACGCTCGACATCGTGCTCGTGTCACCAGAGTGGCATCTGGACTTTACCAGACTTGACATGGGTGACGTGCTCCTGAGCAGCGACCATTACCCCGTGCTTGCTTCGTCACCAAGAATTAGCCTCTTGGCCCAGTACTCGAGCAAACAAGCGGCAGCTCGCTGGGATGGCAGTGAGCAGTGGAACGAAGCCTTAGACTGTGTTTCTGAGTCGCTCTTGTTTGTTTCCAGCGTCGCTCAGTTTCTAACTACTTGGCAAACATTCCTGGAATGGGTCAGGGTAGGTTCCCATCGCAGACTTCGCCAGAGGCTCCTGGACACCATCTTCTGGTGGAGGCAAGTCCTAGTAACCATGGCTGGGCACATAGCTGGTCTAGCTCGAATTACTTGGTCGGGACAGCAAACAGCACGCACTGATGATCTCCAGTGGCTGATTAAGTTTTTTGATTCTGCGAGAACGGCTGACCCTGATGGACCATCAGACGAAGCACTTGTCAATGACCAGCTTTTCTCCCGAGCACTGTTCAAACTCCAGAACCTGACTGCGGTTGACCCATCTGCAGCACAGAGATTCCTCACAACACTGCTTAAACCGAAAGCCGCTCTCCGTTTGGATCTACGTGACCCCGTCAGCAATCTCCCGCTCACCCCTGCGCAAGAACTTGAGGCCATTGCAGACAACATCACTAGCCGAAGCTATGTGGTCCCGCCCCCGGCTGACCCACAATTCCAGCGCCAAGTCGAACAGCAAATCAGTGCCTACAGACTTCAGGCACTAGCTGAAGCTGGGGTTGACCATACCGAGTTTGCCACCCAAGAACAAGTCCGGGCATGCTGCCGGAGCATGCAAGCCCGCAAGGCGTCAATGCGACTCCCAAGAGCTGCTGCTAAGTTTGGCACCGAGGCCAGCACAACAGCCATCTGGGCCATCATCAATCTTAGTGCCGCTTGTGGCTTGGTCCCGTCAAGCTGGGCGCGCGAAGTTGCACCTGTCAGGAAGCGCGGGCCCATGTGTGTCAGTGATTTAGCTAACCTGCGACCTATCTCCTACGTAGATGAGGTGGAAAGCATCATGGATGCACTATGGTTGCAAAAGACTCGCTCACCCATTGAAGCATACATGGGGCCACAGCAACATGGGGGTATAGTGGATGCAGTGATTACTGCTCTAGGAATCATTGTGGCAGCACAGCAGCGCAGAGGACATGGCCTCCCAACCTTGGTGTTCAAGGCTGATCTTATGCAAGGCTTTGACCTGACGTGGAGAAACGGGTGCCTCTTCCACCTGTGGCGAGCTGGGGTCAGGGGCAAGGACTGGCTCCACATGGACGCCACCTTCACTAGCGACAACTTCCGAGTGCGACTTGCGCATCTTGTAGGACCCATTAGAGAACTAACCGCTTTTGCAGTAGGACAAGGGAAAAGGGCAGCAGTTCACCTGTTTGGAGCCCTGACACGTGCCTTGGTTGATTCAGCTGCAAGTCACCTTGGAGTTGGCCTAGGACTCACAGCGTTTGAGGTTAATGCAACCTTCACAGGGCAGTCGCTTTGGACTGCACCCACTCTCCCAGTGGACGCCTCGCGCGTCCATCTGGTCACTGGCAGTGTCGCTACCAGCATCGACGCTTGTGCACGTGCACCTTGGCTGCAACCTGAAACACCAGTGGGAACTGCTGCAGAGCGCCTCCTGGCTCTTGACATACTGGCCAAGAGCAACACGGACCTCACACAGTTCGTTGATGATGTTTTTGCCTTGTGCTCTACGTGTGCAGGCCTTAACAGTCTGACCAGAGCGGCCAACGATTTTGCGAGCCAGTGGCGTCACAGATTTGCTTCAGGCAGCAAAAAGCCCATGGTCCTGCCTGTCAACTGCAACGTGGAACAAAGGCATCTGGAGCAGAACTTCTGCAACACTGAGGTGGGTGTAAGCGAGGAAATTCACATCCTGGGCATTAGAACTGATGCTCAGCTCTCCTTCCAGAGCTTCTTCACGGAGGCATGTAGCAAATACCATGCCCAAGCAAAGCAGCTCAGCGCACAACTCAGTCACCTTGGCCTGGGATTCATTGAGCACTTCAGGATTGCCCAGGAAAGGGTGGAGCCGAGCGCCTTCTTTGGGATCGCTGCTGTGGCCAGCCATTTCCAAGGAGCGGCCTTCGTCCAGACTAAACTCAACTCGCTGCAGTATGAAGTCGCGAAAGATTTGTTGGGTATTTCTGGTATCTCCCTAGGAGTAGGTGGCCAGAGTCGTCTTTTGATGGAACTTGGTATTGAGCAACGCCTGGCCACTAGAGTGGCCACCATGATTGCCCTCACACGAGCCCGCATACTGTGCCTGGATAGCAGTCACGGCGTGTGGCAGGCCTTCTCGACAGCTGTTTCATCTAAGGCGGATACCTGGCTCAACCACGCGCGCATTGTTCAAGATGGTTTAGCGGTTCCAGTAGACTTCCACGAATACTTGCCTGCGATGCACCTGCTACCCCAGGATCCGAAGGCAGCAGTGAAATTATGGAAAAGACAGATCCTCATCCCGGCGGCAAGAGCCTCTGACCGACGGTGGTTTCAGCAGGAGGCTACGAAATGGACAGCAGCACACACGCAGCTGCTGCTGCCGCCCCCTGGCCAAATGTGGACCCGTCAGGCCGCATACTGGCCAAGAAACCTGCAATACCACCTGCGCAGGTGGACGGCGACGCGACTAACAGGTGCCTTCATTCAGATGAGACCGCGAGGCTGTTGGGAAGCTAAGGAAACGCTGCCTTACTGCCCTTTCTGCAACTCCCCTAGCGTGACACTGCCCCACGTCTTTTCGGAGTGTGCAGAGATCCAGTCGGCTGCACACCTGGTGCCAGCCTGGCCGTGGCTTGTCAGCTTACCAGATTCCTTGGAGGAGCTGGACACCAAGATCCGCCTCTTCGGTAGGATCATGGGGCTCATAGACAGACAACCGGTGTGAGCATGGAAAGACCACTGACTGCAGATCATTAAGGGTGACTTGGCTTGTTCTTCGTCACTAGGTGTTGGCCCACAGACCCTTCAGGGTGGAGGCGCTCACCAGTGACGCGCGGGGGTTATCCGCTTGAAGCTACGGCGCGCCGAGCTTCCCCCTCTATACCCACAGGGAATACCCCACAGAGGCGGCGACTTTCAGGAATGGAAATTTCTGGAGAGCTTGAGCCTTCGCATCAGCTTCTTGACATAGCAAATCAGCAATACGAGTCCGGAGTTCTTACTTGGATCCCTGCGTCGAAATGTGCCAAGAGGGAAGCTGAGGTCCTTGCATTGGGCAAGGATAGGAGCTCTTTGTTGCAGGTGGAACAAAACGTCATAAAGGTGGGGCCTGGTGACCAGGCTATCGCTTGTGATGTTTCGGATCCTCTGCGTTTTCAGTGGGCCATGATGCGAAGAGGCATAGCTTTTGACAACTGTCACCTGCTGTCCTGGGATGTGCATCAGAGGTGGGTTCAGAAGATGCTGGATTGCCTTTCAGCAACCCCGCCACCGAGTTATAGCCCAGTCAGTTTGAATCAATGCATGCGTGCGGATAAGGAGCTTTTTCTGCTATTGGCCAGGGAGGCTGTGCCTCCTTTCAAGGTGGACTCGCTCGGGGTTTCGCCGCTTGATGCAAAATTTTCGGCAATGATGTATGATGTCCGTCTTCAGCAGTTCCTGTTGCCGCTTCCGAAGCAGACAGCTCCTGTCTTGGCAGTGCCTGTGGATGATGGGGCGGGGAGTTCCTCCCAGCCCGTCCCGAAGGGGAAGGCCAAGGCAAAAGCAAAGGCGAAGGTGAAGGCGCGCATCCGTAGGACTGTGCCAGAAGAGTTGAAGCAGTACTCTTGCAGGACAGAAGATGGAAATGTTTGTTGGGATTTCAATCTTGCCTCAGGCTGCTCTCTTAAGACTGAGAAGTGCAAGGGAGGGCTTAAGTGTGTCCGCGGCCTTCACATCTGTGCGAAGTGTCATAGGCCGGGGCATTCAGCAGTGTCGTGCAAAGCCAAGGCGCAAGAGTGACTATCTGAGTCATTGTCGTCCGTTGTGTTGCATGATTCTTCTCACAGTGAGGACTGCACTTTTGGTGCAGCAGCCGCTGGAGAGCAGACTAGGCCGTTGGTGTACCGTGCTCTCGAGCAGGTGCGGGGACCGGCGGAAGGGTCAATCTTGAATGATAAGACACTTCTTCAAGAGAAGTTGCAAGCGTTGAAGGCGAGGGCTCTTGCCTCGATGAAGTCGCAGGTCGAGCCGAGGAAATCTCCTTGTGAAGGCCAGGCGCAAATTTCACCCAAGCCCAGCGGTCAGCTGGAAGTGCCAATGGCAGTGTCACCTGATACCCCTAAATTTGGTTCTAGTCCTCGCCCAAATAGGCCGCAGTTCACTGATCCTGAAGCTCTTGCGAAGTTTCTCTTGCGGCAGCCGTCGTGCTTGACAGCCAGTGCAGCTCTGGATCTTTTGGAGCTTTTGCCTCAGGAGGCGCAAAATCCTCCTAGGGCATTTCAGGGATCGGGTGGAGCTCGATTCAGCATGGGCGTCTACCGGCGTGGCGGTATTTTGGGTTTGCATAGGACTATGGACATGTTCCCGTTTTCTATCAAGGTTTTCAACCTGCTTGTGAGTCGGGTGTGCCCTGCATTCAGTTACTCTTCACTTGCAATCCATGAAAATCTTGCCTCAGGATTGCACCGCGACGAGAACAATCGTGATGGCCCTACATTGTTGGTGCCTTTGACGGACTTTGAGAACGGTGAACTTTGGTTTCAGAAGGTTGGAGGTGATGTCGCTTCGTTGAATGACCCTTCTTTGGAGGGATGCCTGCTTGATGTGGCCGCCGGCCCCACCTTTTTCTCGAAGCCTAAAGATTTTCATGAGACTAGGCCGTGGGAAGGTCGCAGAGTTGTCATGCTTGCTTATTCGGTGCGTCAGTGCGAGGAGCTCCGGCCTGAATTACGAGCTGTCGCTGAGCGGCTCGGGTTTTCTGTGTCTCCTTTGGGTTTAGGCCCTTTTGTGGTTTCCTGGGACCCTAGGTGCCTCTCCCCTGTTAGGCCGTCGCAGCGTGATGCCAGCAGTGTACAGCAGTCGGCGGCGGGAATGTACTTCGTTGAGTTGTGTGCTGGGACAGCTGTTCTTAGTAAGGCAGCTGCAAAGTTAGGCTTCCGGCCTTTTGCAGTTGATTCCTCTAGAAGGCGGGCTGGTGAACAAGTTGTCATCATGGATTTGAGTGATCCAGCCCAGGCTGAAGCAGTTGTCGATTTCTTGCGAGTTGAGTATCATCACGTCATCTGTGTTTTCATCTCACCTCCGGTGGGCACCGCATCTTTCATGCGTGAACGGCATAAGCCGGGTTCTGCTGAACTTGATTTGAAGATGCCAAATGCTTTGAGGTCGGCGTTGCATCCGGATGGCTTGCCGACTTTGCGTGGTCGTGATAAACTCCAGGTTGAGCGTGCAAATCAATTTTTTGATCAGCTTGCAAACATTGCATGTGAGGCTTGTGATCTTGGAATCCTGACAGTCCTGGAGAGTCCTTCTAACAGCCGTTATTGGGACACCTCCTTCTGTGCTAAGGTGACAAATCATGTGCAGGGTCACTTTGTAAAATTCCATGCCTGTGTGCATGGAGGTCACAGACCCAAGTTGATGCAGCTTTGGTCGTCACAGGACGTTTTTGGCATGCTTGCGGGTCGCTGTGACGGGTCGCACGAGCACAAACCGTGGCGACCTTTCATTTCGAAAAGGAAGCGGGTGAGCTTCATCACAGCAGATGAACCCGAATTTCCACCGCTCCTCGTCGATCGTATCCTTGGTTGCATCGTCCATGCGCATCCCAGCTTGTCCTTCGGGCCACGTGTGCTTGCGCAGGCAATACAGGATCCTTCTGCGAATGTCGCCAGGATAAATCTGGGCACTCAACCCAGGGGAAACTCCTTGCCTTCGCTTGTGTGGGAGTTTGACACTACGTTGGATTTTGTTGTGCCAGTGCAAAATGACAAGCCGTTGGAAGCTGTGCTTTCTTCCCTTCCAAAGGGCTCCAGAATCTTCTCGAGACGTGTGTGTGAGTGGGGTTCGCTGAAGAGTCTCCTCGAAGGAGTTGGCAAGCTAAAAACAAACATCGTGGGCTTGGACCCTTTGCATCCGCCTGCTTGTGCAGAGCTTGTGCAAGTCGGTGTACCGTGCTCTGAAGATGTCTTTGTTGAGAGAGCTATTGCGGCAGGACACCCACGGTCCTTGGCAGTCCATGTTGAGCCTTTCGTCACAGTTAGTGCACGTGCTAACTTTGAGGCTCCCCCGGCAGAACTTGCGGCCTTCAGGATTGATGCAATGAAGTTTTGGATTGGTCGTGCAGGTGCCCTCAAGGAAAAGGAGCAGGAACTTCACCGAAATCTCCCTGATCACCTGCGGCCCATACTTAAAGGAAAGAAGCTCTTGCTTCTCCAAGAGATGATGAGGGCCGCAGGGTGTGAGGATGTTGACCTTGTTTCTGATATATGCAAAGGTTTCAAGTTGTCGGGCTGGCTTCCTGCGTCGGGTGAGTTTGTGCCGAGGTCCAGAAGGCCCAAATTCAGTGTCGAGACGTTGGGAGTTTTGTCGAAGGGCTTGAACAAAGCAACCTTGCAAAAGCTGTCCAGGAGGCAGGATTCCGAAATTGGAGGATCCACCTGGGTTGAAACCCAAAAGGAGATTGACGCAGGTTGGGTGTGGCTTGAGGAAGGGCCGGTTCCTGAGATGGTCTCGATTGCTATGCGCTTCGGAATCATGCAGAACAAATTGAGGGTCATCGATGACCTTTCTTGTTGCGGCCTAAACGCGACAGTGGGCTTGCTGGAAAAGTTTTGCTTGCATACGATAGATAAGCTTGCGGCCATGATGGCTCATGCTTTTGATGTCGTGTCCGGTGTTATGCCTGAGTGCTGCGGCCGAACTTTCGACCTTACGGCAGCGTACAAGCAATTTGGTGTGTGTGCTGCTGACCGTGAAAGGCTACGCATTGCTGTCAACAGGCCAGGCCACCACAAGCCGAGCTTCCTGGGCGTAAACGCCCTCCCCTTCGGAGGGGTGGGGTCGGTCGCTGCTTTCCTAAGGATAAGTATCGCCTTGTGGAAGATCGGAATAGTCCTTTTCAGGCTATTCTGGTCTGCCTTTTTCGATGACTACAGCATAGTTTCTGCGAAGAGCCTGGAATCGAACGCCCAGTGGACTGTGGAAACTTTGTTTGACCTGCTTGGTTTCCGCTTCGCCAAGGACGGGTCCAAAGCCGAACCCTTCGGAGTTACCTTCAACATGCTCGGCCTCTCTGTTGATCTGTCTTGTGTGAAGCAGCGGATCCTTCGTGTGGGTCATACTCAGAAGCGAAAGGAAGAGCTCACCGAGTACATCCAAACCATCCTTCAGGAAGGAAAGATCGACTCGAAGGCTGCCGAACGCCTTAGGGGTCGTATGGTTTTCTTCGAGGGTTTCACCTTTGGAAGGGTTTCTAATCGGGCTCAGCGAGTTGTTGCAAAGTGCGTGGAAAAGTCTGCCCCTCAGAATCTTACTGAAGATTTGATGTGGGCGTTGACGTGGCTTCGTGAAAGAATAGCCATGAGCCAGCCTTTAGTTGTCGAGCGAAACCTCATCACAACGCTGATCGTTTTCACTGACGGGGCTTGCAATCCAGAGGAAGGCACGGGAGGTGTCGGAGGCGTCCTTGTGAATGCCTCTGGTACTCCGTGCGAGTTCTTCGGTGAGGCAGTTCCAAGCGATTTGATGCAGCAGCTTTTGAGCATCAGTGCGAATCCCATTTTCGAGCTTGAGTTGATTCCAGCACTGATCAGCCTTATCATTTGGGCCGATCGCTTGAAAGGAGCTCAAGTAGTGTTCTATCTTGACAATGATGGTGCTCGCCATTCTCTGATCCGAACCTTTGGCGGTAGCTCACTCGCCAACTCTGTGATTGAATCTTTCCTTCAGCTTGAAACCACGTTGCAGCTGAAGACGTGGTTCGCTCGCGTACCGACTGCTTGCAACATAGCAGACAATCCCTCACGGCTGGAATTTGAGCCTCTTTTAAAAAGAGGTGCTGCAAGGCGTGCTATTCCGTGGGACCAGGTCATGCCGTAGATGATCGGGGTGAAGGAAGACGGCGCGGAGTGTAGCATCCCACGTGGAAAAATAGAGTTGCGCGAGCAAGGGACCTTCGCACATTTATATGGATATATATTCCATAGAAAACATATTGGATTCCGGTGTGCAAATAAGGAATAAGAACCTGAACGCACTGTACGGGAAAACGGCGGATCTGAAGGGAGCTTACAGACAATTGGCGGTATCTGATACAAGCTTAGATTTTTCTTACCTCTCGGTCTACGACCCGGCAGAGGAGAAGCCCAAGTTGTTCCAACAACTAGCTGTGCCCTTCGGCTCAACCAAGGCCGTGTATTTTTTCCTCAGAGTGGCGAGAGCTCTTTGGACTATCTTGGTCAAAGGGGCCAGAATCCCGACCACGAATTATTTTGACGATTTTGTTCTGCTCGCTCTTGGAGGAGATAGGAGTTCGTGTTCGCATGCTTTCGATGAAGTTATGAGGCTGCTAGGTTGGAAGCTGTCAGCTGATAAGACGACAGAGTGGGACACCAGCTTCGAGGCCCTTGGCGTCCTTTTCGAGCTTGACCAGACAGGGTCGGGAGTTCTGAAGGTCAGGAACACAGAGAAACGACGAAAGGAACTTACTGCTGCGATCAAAGGTTTCCTGGACAAGAGAACCATGACTCAGAAGGAAGCGCTACAACTGCGGGGTAGGCTGCAGTTTGCTCAAGCCCAGTTTTTCGGTAGGCTGGGAAGAAGGTGCCTTACAGAGGTGACAAAGCATGCCTACACTGGCAGGTCGAAGCTTTCGTCGATGGCCAAGGAACGACTTGAAGAGTTTGGTAAGTTCCTTGACGTGGCCCAACCGAGGTTAGTGGGACAAGTTTCATGCAGGACTTTTATGATCCTGACTGATGCGGCGTTTGAAACGGAGTCAGGAACTGGAGGCCTGGGGGCGTCCTTCTCACCGGGTCAGGCTCGGCACTCTCTTTCTTCAGCGTGCCGATCTCAGAGCAGCAAGCCAAGTCTATGTCGTTGCAAGATGAGCATACTATCATATATGAGCTCGAAATGTTCGGGGTCTTGATCGGTCTCAAGCTCTTGGTCGAAAAGACAGCTGCTTTCGCAGAGTCATACGAGCAGCCAGGTGCTGTTGCTGGAACTGGAGTGATTTGTTATATCGATAATGATGCTGCGAGACATGCATACATCGCCGGCTCTTCAAAGAAAACCAGCTTCAAAACCGACGCTGCCCGATGGACTGGGTTCTCTTCGAGGAAACCAAACTGGAGAACAGCGACCTCCACCTGAACCATGGTCCCAATGTTTTTGAGAATGCAGAGAAGATCTCCGTCGAGTCCCTCCCCGAGGTGTTCCGTTCCGACACCGCGGATTTCTTTGAGATTGCCAGTGGTGAGGAGCACTCAATCGTTCAAGAAGGTGCAGATTTTCAGGTTCTGGCTGCGTCCGATTCTTCCTCGTCTACTACAACCCTGAGATGTGAAGCCTTGGCTCGCGAGAAGCTGCGCATGAAAGCCTTGTCTTTTGCCGACCTCTACGAGATCGTCCAGCTCGTGCCGCTCCGGAAGACCAAGAAGCACAGGTGCATCAGTGGGGGCGCCGAAACAACGGTCAACTACTTCTTTGCCGGCCTCTACACCCACGGCGTTTTCTCGGGGATCACCAAAGGAACAGAAGCATTGCCCTGGGTGACTCGGTATGTCAATGCGTTCGGCCGAGACAAGACCAATGGCAGCTAGAGCTCGTGGATCCTCAATAAGAACGTCAAGTCCAGCGTGCACTCCGACAGCCACAACCTCGTCGGCACCAACATCACGACGATGTGCTTTGACTTTTCCAGCGGAGAGCTGTGGGTTGAAGATGATGCAGCCGACATCGAGGGCGACGCCGTGTTCAGGACCGACGCTTTCAACAGGACCCGGAAAGGGAAGCTCATATCCACCAAGGAGACACCGCTCGTCCTCGACCCCAAGCGCAAGCACTGCACAGAAGCATGGCAAGGAGACAGATGGACCCTCGCTTTCTTCACCCCGCGTGGTTTTCCGGAGTCCACCCCAGCCTTACGAGACCGCCTTCGAGACCTTCGTTTTCCTCTTCGTGGTCTCCCTATCGAGGAACATCACCATGATTTCGCACGTGCGCCCAGACCGCCCAAGAGCACCCGCAAGGGGTTATGGAAGGCGGCGAAAAGGCTCGCTTCAATGACTGCGTGGTGTACGATGGCGGCTACTTCTTGGGCAACTACAGACTTCCCTCTCGGGAAGAAACGAGGAGCACCCACCCTGTTTGAAGTGGGCGACGTGACGAAGACCTTGGAGGCTGGCGACTTTGACTACGTCTGCATGGAGCCCCTTCTCCCTGAGGATCTTGGACCACCTAATGTTTTCTCTGAGGCCAAGGACAACCTCGTGAAGTTCGAGCCCGAGACCGTTTGGGTCCATGTCGAAAAGATATAAGCCTTCTCGCTTGCGAGACAGCATTTTATTTCCCAAACTATTCTCTGTCGGTGTCGCCTTTGCTAATTTGATCTTTTTTGATTTGCTGGCGACTTGTCTTTGGCATTCGATGCATTGAGACGATTGACCACTTGCTCAACATTCATGCTTGATGTTGCAGTTTTGGCTGTGTGCAGCTCATGAGAAATTTTTGTGCTCTCTAGAGGCTGTATTGCTTGCTAAAAGCCCCAAGGTGCTAACTCAAAGGCTGGGATTAGCCCGCTGTGCAAGACTGCCCGTTGCGGGGCAGTCGGATGGACTTCGCAGAAGCTCTGGCTGCAGGTTCCAGTGTGCCCAGTGACAGCGAGTCTCCCAGTACTGTGAGCGTAATCAGCAGGCATCTCTACGAGCTTCAATTGCAGGTCAACACTCTTGAGGCCCACGTGTCTGCTTGTCAAAGGCGCATCAGGCAGTTGGAGCAGCAGCTTCAGTCATCGCCAGAATCTGCATCAGAGGTCACCTGGGCCGCTTCGCTCCGCTCGTTTTGTGCTTGCTTTTATCGCTAGTGCAGCTTCACAGCATGCCGCCTGCTGGCGAGCCGAATAATTTCCCCGGCCTCTCCTCTTCTGCGGGGGGGGGGGGTGAGGCGAGGCTCTGTGACACTGACATTGATCGCATGTTGCTTCAAGCCAGGATTAGTGGTCTGGGCAATTCTCTCCCTAAGTTGCCTTGGGAATCGGGTGTCATGTCTTGCATCTTTGGAGATGGCTTATTACCCAAGCCTGCCATTGCACAGCCCAGGGCGCCTGCTCCTCCTGATGCCTCCGGTTCCGAACCCTCGACCGAGGGCAAAGCAGCTCGTGTGCGTGCTGCACCTGCAAGCTTGTTTGAGAGATCTTTTCATACGAGAGCAGATGTGCCAGTTGAGGACGAGGAAGAGCATTTGTGGGTTTTAGCTATCAATAAGTGGTGCTGCATCTTCACCCTTGCCAATGAGGATCCCGGTTCAGTCGGTGTGCAGGCTGCGCAGTGTTTGGTTGCAGAAGGTGAAAAGGCCAGGGACGAGTTGCTCAGGGACGTCTTCGGCCTGCGTTCGCCCCGTACGGCGATCAAACGCGCCAATGCTCTGTTGCGATGTCTCAGGTGGCATCAAAAGGAGAGAAGTGTTACATGGCCGTGGGACAGGGAGTCTGTTACTGCCTTCGTGAAGTCACTTGGAGAATCTTCAAGCGCGGTGAGCAGTCTCTTTGAGGCCATCAATTTCGCTCACCATGTGATGGATGTGCCATTCTGCGATGATCTGCTTAACGACCGACGGCTGCAGGGCAGGGCCCGGAGACTTGCGGGTGAAAAACCCGAGGTGAAACAACAGGAGCCTCTGAAAGTTGAGCTTGTGGCGAGGCTTGAAAAGACTGTGGCTGGCGAGGCTCTTTGTGATGTCGATACATATGTTCTTGGGGGCGAGCTGTTCGCTCTTTACAGCAGATCGAGATGGTCGGACTTGAAGAAAGTTAATTCGATCTGGATCGACTTCGATGATGCTGATTGTACATCAGGTTTCGTCGAAGCAAGGACATGCGAGCATAAGACCAGCAACACAGTGCGGACCAAGCGCCGAGCCATGCCGCTTGTTGCACCCTTCCCAGGTGTGACCGATGCCAATTGGGTCAAGGCTTGGTGGCAGGCGGGTCAGAGGCTTGGGGTTGATTGGTCGGTAGTGCCTTTTGGACCCCTCGTGCGTGCCCCGGACAGCTCCGGCAAGCTGTGTAAGAGGAGGTGCACCTCCGGTGAAGCAGGCTCGATGCTTTGCAATGCCCTAGGCTTGGAAGGCGAGAGTCGTCGCACGTCTCATGTGCTCAAAGGGACAACCTTGGCCTGGACAGGGAGACGGGGCTTTGGAGAGCGCGAAGGCCTCTTGCTAGGTCATCACGCGACAGGTTCCAGTTCACTTGCTTGTTACAGCCGAGAGTTGCTGAGCGCACCGCTGAGGGCTTACCGTAGAATGTTATGGGAGATACGCACAAACATTTTCAAGCCCGATGCAACACGTTCGGGGTGGCTTGCCTCACATGCTGACGAGAATCTGCGTGCCTTTCGGGATTCCTTCCTCGATGACCCCAAGGATGCATGCCCCTTCGAAGCTCCGACCGTGCAAGCTGAGGGTCCTGCAGCTAGCGGGACGGGACGAGGAGATGATCTCGATGAACACGGCGAGTTGGAGCACTACCGCTCACTCAACCGTGCCCCTGACTCATCGGCACTTGAGCATGATCCAGACTTCAGTTCTTGGGATCGGGTTGATAACGGTTCAGCAAGCCCACCTTCAGAGCATTCGCCGACGCCCGGGGATTGTGCACCGTCTCCGATTGTGCATGCAAGTAGTGTGCCTGCGACACCTATGCAGGAGGCTGCCTTGGCGCAGACGAGCTCATCCTCCTCTTCGAGCTCTAGCTCTTCAGGTGACAGTGAAGATGAGGAGCAGTTGGTTTCGAATTGCGGAGTCAACCAGGACTATGAGATCAACGAACCTTGTTGGCAACACGTCAAATCCAGGATGTTGCATCGAGCCCAGGGCGACCAGTCAGCATGTAGGACCCGTTGTGGTCGACGGACGACCACGGTGTACAGGTGGCTTGAGGGTGCTTACTTTAAGTGGACTAGGTGCGCAGTGTGCTGGAAGGGAGAACTTCTGGACTCCCAAGGGGCTTTGGCCAACAAGCTCAATGAGCTTATGGATCGTAGCTAGTGTGAGCTGCGTATGAAATGTTCTTGAAGTGCGGTTGCGACTGTGTGCAGTCTGATTTGCTCATGCTGTGTGCAGCATGTGCTGTTTGAGTGAATGCACCATCTAGTGGATGCCTTACTGTGCTTGGGCAATGGTCAGCACCAGTTCATGATCTTTGTGAATGCACCAGTTATGGCTGAGGCCTATGGTAGACATGTCATGTCCATGCTTTTGTCTACTCGCTTTGTTTCAACAACTTGTGTGCATTCGGACCAGGCGCTTGCATGTTCTCTCTAGATCAGGCCTGGACCCTTGTTGACACATTGTACTTCACAGCAGTGTAGAGATTGGTGACCTTGCGGGATGGCGGCGGTTTCAATTCTTACTTCGGCTGCAGCCTTCGACAAGCAATGTGAAAGGGTGGGCTTGGCAGCGGATTGGATTGCCGCCATGAAAGCTTCAGGCATCACTACGCTGGGCAAGTTGAGCTACGCAGTATCGCTCCCAGGAACGCAACCGACGGCCGACGAGATGGATAGCTTCACTGCTACTTTGAGGCCCGGGGCGAGAGTCAATTTGGGCGACAGCTCCGCAATGAAACAGCTTATCTTCGAAGCCCAGACCATGACAGTGGCAGAGCTCCGAGCTACCATGCAATCCGGTGAGGATGTGTCTCGGAAGCTTCCGGCATCGGAGCGCTCAATGCGCATCGAGGATCAGAAACAACGCCTCAAAGGCCTCCCGCTGGAGGGCCCTTTGTCCGTAGCCCATTGCGTGTATGACAAGCTCGCAAACATGCGCGAGAACGACGAACTGAAGTACCTCTCCCCCGGCGAGTGCATCACCCGTGATGCTGAGCTGTGTTGTGAGAAGCCTCCCAAGGCCTTGCAGCTCGACGCTAATAAGATGGGCATCGTGGTGAAGGATGAGGAAGCCCTAGCCACCATGTCAGTGGACAGCGATTTGCAACTTTACCAGGCAATGATGAGGCGAGCCTTGGCCATGGACCTTGTTGGTTTAGCTTCTTATGAGACGGTGCAGAAGTGGAATGAACGGCTCTTCCGCATCATGAGCCAGGACCCGCCACCGGAGTTCCAGAAGGTCTCGAGGGCACAGGTGCTGAGGGCAGATCGGCAATGTTTCTTGGAGCTTGCCCGCACGTGCAATGGGAACCTGAAGCCTGATGCAAGGGGAGTGCTCCCGCTCGACAAGGAGTTTGAGAAGCTGGAGTACAACCAATCAGTCATGTATTTTCTGCTGCCTGTCAAAGGTAAGGGCAAGGGCTCCGGCAAGCCTGGCGACAAAGGCAATGGAAAGAAGCGCACTAGCGACACACCAGGGGATGGCAAAAATAAGAAGTTGAAGATCACCCGCGACCCAATACCAGATGCCTTGAAAGGGATGCACTCGCGGACGCCTGACAACAAGCCCATCTGTTTCAATTTTAATCTTGGAAAGTGCAAAGCGGGTGCGAAGTGCAAGTTCAAGCATGTGTGTTGCAAGCCGGGCTGCTACAAATCGCATCCCATGTCCGAGCATGACTCGGCCACTTCTGAGTGACATGCAGTGTGCACAGGTGATCTCATTGCACATGCTGATCCCGAAGAGTCTGAGGCACCTGTGCAACAACAGCGCCAGCCGTCAGCTGACGGCAAATTTTGCAGTGCAAGCGCATTTTGCGTTGAAGTTTTTGCTCGTCGTGCCTGCTTGTGTGGTTGTCTCCGAATGGGGTTGCCGAATTCCTTTGCAGTTGGCAAGGGTTGCTCACAGGCAGCCGCGGCACCGGTGGTTCCAATGGATATTTTGTCTCCGGGTGGCCTTGCCCTTTGTGCGTCATGGGCCCGCGAACCTTCATGTGCTTGGGTGCATATCAGGTGCCCTCGTTCTATATTTCCAAATCGTCAGAAATCTCCGCATCCTTCTTGTGACAATGCTGACCGCTGTGTGTATGCAATCTCTCAGCTTTTGAAACACTGCAATGATACCGAAACGCCTTGGACGGTGGAAGCTGCATCGAGGTCGTCGTTCTGGACAACTGACTTGGGTAAGAGCTTGATTAATTCTTCGGTTGACATTGATCTTAGTGCCTTTGGCTCCCCAACACCCGGTTGCATTCGGTTTGCATCCTCCCTGCCACTTGTCCTTCGATCTTGTGCGAGCTTGGCGACTGCCAGTCGCCAAAAGTCTTCCACTGATGTTGCTTTGGGGCAGCTCTACCGTGCGCTCGCATCAGTCATGCTCGAGCATCTGCATGTTCGCGCCCCGCAGGTTCCACCACTTGCTGCAGCTCAGGTTGCGACGGGGATGCAGCCACGCAAGTTCCCTCTGGCCCCAGTTCCTGAATTTAAGCGTTTTGTGCAAATTGCTGTGCCGCAATGTCCACCCTTGGACTCCAAGAACCGGCTGCTGACCACTCTTCGCGTGCAGGACACTGTTGTGCCTGCTGGTTCCAAGCTTGTGCCGCCTTTTTCTCGACTGGCTGCCGATCGTGTAGAGGGGGAAGGTTTGATCCGCAACCAGGTGCACCGCACTTCGCAGGCTGGAGCATCGCTCGCCGAACACAATCCAGACGCTTCGGACGCGTCGAGTGGTTTGAATCAGGCAGCACCCCCCCTTTGTGGTTCCGCCGGTGCCCTCCCTTCCTCTTCGGGTCTAGTGGGTGCTGCCTGTGATAGTGTTCATCCCTCTTGCAATGCCGATATGCCCCCTCGCATGCTGTCTGTTGGGCGAGCAGCACCTTCCAGTTGTGGTTCTCCCGCCTTCCCCTTTTCCCCTTCGGGTGTAGGCGGTGCTGCTCCATTAGCTTTAAGCCCCACATGTTCAGGCTCGCTGGTATGTGCGACCGAGTGTGAAGCAGAGATGCTGGCCTCGAATCTTGGTGCCAGAGTTGATGCCAGCAGCCTTGTCAGCATGTTCGAAACCTTACCAGCTGAAGTGCCAGCACGTGGCGTTGATGATGCTCGTGAGAAGGCTTGGACCGCGGGAGCTTATTCCCAGAACAAGCTATGTGGCCTGCGGAAGCACACCAGAGCTTTCCCTCGTGTTGTCTCTGCCGCGGTCAGGTACTTGCGTACATGCTTCCCAGATGCATGCTTCGCGACGATTGCCTTTTACTCCAACGTTTGCACTCCGATGCACAGGGATGCAAACAACTTGGAGGGCACGCTGAACTATGTTGCTCCCCTCACATCTTTCAAAGATGGAGGCATCTGGGTGCAGGATGATGAGGGCACTCACTCCCGGATGACGCCATGCGGCCAATCCACAGGCCGTGTATTGCAAGTCTGCGAGGGCCCCGTGCATTTTGATGCACACCGCTTTCATTGCACCTTGCCTTGGCTCGGATCAAGAATCGTCCTGATCGGCTTCACTCCGAGAAATCTTTCGTCGCTGAAGCAGAGTGACACTAGACTTCTTCTAGACCTGGGCTTTCCGCTGCCGGGTCACAACCCCCCGATCCTGCCAGCCATCGCTGCGCCTCAGGTTGACGGGGCTGACACTCCACAAGTTGAGCTTGCTGAGGAGCGGGATCGAGAGCTGTGTACCTTGACGTTTGGCGTGTATCATACTGAAAGCGAGTTCGTGCGTGCCGCCGTGAAGGCGGGTCACCCTAGAGCAATGGTTGACTCGTTGCCAGCACATCTTGATTCTTGCATAGATCTAGTGTCGAAGGCCCCGCCGAGTGCCATCGTAGAGCGGCGCAAGCAGTGGCTGGATAAGTGGACCGCCCGCGCCGCTGAGATAGGTGTGCGTCCCGACCCTATCTGGGAAGTCGAGGACCCGCACATGAGGGAGGTGCTGCGAAGCAAACGACTACAGCTGTTAGATGAGATTATCGCGAGCGAGGGCTATGAAGATGTGAGCTTGGCCAGTGACATAAGATCGGGTTTCGACTTAGTGGGGACCTCGCCTGTGTCGAACGTGCTGCCTGGGAAAGTGTCTCCAGCATCCCTTCACCCTGACGATGTCAGCGCTGCCGCGGGTCGCGCAAATGAAGCCCTTCAGATGTCTCTTGGTTCATCGGGGGATCATGCCACTGACTTGAAGTTGTGGGAAAAGACCATGCAGGAGGTAGACAGGGGCTGGCTTGTGGGCCCATATGGTTGGGACGACCTGCCCGACGGGTATGTCGTATCGCACCGCTTCCCTTTGTGGCAACACGACAAATTGAGGCCCATCGATGACTACAGCCGCAGCGGGGTGAATGCATGCGTGACCACCCTAGAGCAGCCCACAGTGGACACGGCGGACGTGGCGGCCGCCATGTTTGCCAAGCTGTGCGAGGGACTCGGGAAGGCCAAGCGACCCTCCTGGATCAAGGGCCGTTCTTTCGACTTGACCGCTGCATATAGGCAGCTGTGTGTCTCCACTGCCTCCAGGAAGTTTGCTGTGATTGCCGTTTACAACCCTCACACGGGGAAGACATGCCTTTTCACACAGATTTGCCTCCCGTTCGGTTCCCGAGCATCGGTCAACGGCTTTATCAGGTGCTCTCGGTGCATCCAATGGTTAGCGACGCGCTGCCTCCTTGTACCGACGACTTCATATTACGACGACTTCATAGTAGCATCGCCCGACTGCCTAGCAGACAATGCAGGAAGCACGATGGAGCTACTGTTCCAGCTGTTAGGTTGGGTGTTCGACACAGTGGGCCCGAAAGCCGACACCTTCTCTCGGGATGTCTCGGCTCTTGGATTGCACTTTGACTTGTCTGAGAGCGGGGGTGGTGTCGTTATCGTGGACAACACCGAGAAGAGGAAGAGGGACATCCATGCTTTGGTTTCGGACGTGCTTGCCAAGGGCCAGCTCTCTTACAAAGGTGGCATGGAGTTGCGTGGCAAACTTGCTTTTGCAAACTCGCAGGTTATGGGTAAAGCCGGGCACTACGCCCTCAAGCATGTCAGCACACACGTGCATGCATACCCTTTCATGCCGAAGTTGAGTGCTGCCACGACCGACGCATTGAGCTTTCTGATGGCTCGCATACTTGAAGGACAACCCAGAAGGATTCATAAGCCGCTAGGCCTGCCATGGTTCGTGTACACTGATGCCAGTTTTGAGCCTGACTATACCGGAGGTTTAGGTGGTGTGCTGATCTCGCCTTCGGGTTCCGTAGTCGGGTGGTTTTCACTGCTCCTGGAGTGCGCCGACATTCGCCCTTTGCTGCCCTTGAAAGCGGAGACAGGCATCGGCGAGTTGGAAGCGATAGCGGTTGTACTTGCATTTCAGCTGTGGGAGGAACACTTGAAGTCCACCGAGTGCGTGGCATACCTTGACAACGAAGGCGCACGATGTTCGCTGATCAAGGGCTGCTCATCGTCTTGGTCTATCACGCGGATCTGTCACATCTTCGCTAAGACTTGTGAATCGCACACGGTGCTGCCCTGGCTAGCACGTGTCCCGTCGTGCAGCAATGTGGCAGACCACCCCAGTAGAGGTAAGGACTGCAGTATGCTTCCTCGCAGTCGCGCATCGACAGAGCCTTGCGTGAGAGCTCTTTTCGACAGCTTAGTGCAATCCATCATAACCCTTCCCTAGCCGTCATCTTCTTGAGTGGGGTGGGTGAGTGATGACGGTGTGCCGATCATCTTGTTGGATGTGTGCATCCTTGCTGGTGTGTGCACCTTCTTTAGCTACGGACTCACCAGACATACCCCGCTTTGGATTGAAAAAGAAGGTGTCCGACTGCCTCGCTTCGTTGCACTTGCTGTATGTGTACCTTACCTGAATAGTTGGATTGCACTTGCTGTATGTGTACCTTACCTGAATAGTTGGAAATAAATAAGCCTTCTCGCTTGCGAGACAGCATTTTATTTCCCAAACTATTCTCTGTCGGTGTCGCCTTTGCTAATTTGATCTTTTTTGATTTGCTGGCGACTTGTCTTTGGCATTCGATGCATTGAGACGATTGACCACTTGCTCAACATTCATGCTTGATGTTGCAGTTTTGGCTGTGTGCAGCTCATGAGAAATTTTTGTCCCGCCCGCCCTCCCCTGGGGTGGGTGAGTGATGACGGTGTGCCGATCATCTTGTTGGATGTGTGCATCCTTGCTGGTGTGTGCACCTTCTTTAGCTACGGACTCACCAGACATACCCCGCTTTGGATTGAAAAAGAAGGTGTCCGACTGCCTCGCTTCGTTGCACTTGCTGTATGTGTACCTTACCTGAATAGTTGGATTGCACTTGCTGTATGTGTACCTTACCTGAATAGTTGGAAATAAAAAAGGGTCTCTTCGTCCGCTCCAGCAGCTGTTCGAGGCCCAAGCGTGCAGTGGCAGACCTCTGGTGTTTGAGTTTCCCGAGGACAAGAACGACCTCACCGGCGGCGAGCTCGAAGATTTCCTTGAAATGTATGATAGCCACAGCGATAGCCATGATGGAAAACGCCGCATCGTGCGTATCAATGCCCGAGAGAACTCTTCCCCCGACCTCTCGCTTCCTCAAGGAGATCGAGCCAGTTTTCTCTTCGAGTCCTACATGGCCTCCGGAGGCGCCCGTGGAAGCGACGATCCTCCGCCAGAAGTCCTACAGCGAGGAGCTGAAGCCATCTCTTTCACGAAGGGAGAGACAATACCTGGACCAGTACAAAGCTCTCTCAAGGGACTGCACCAAAATCTCGGGCACGCAAGCCCAAACGATATGGCCCGGCCCGACACCTACGTCTTGCCGGAGCTGACCCTGCAGTGATCAGCGCTTGCAAAAGGATTCGATGTCAAGTTTGCGAACGGCAACAACGAGGCGGTTCCCCGAGACCCGCGAGCATCCCCAACCTCCTGGAGTTCAACCAGGTGGTCGCCTTGGACGCTTTTACCACCTACGACGCTTTTGACGACAAGGTGGAGTTGCTCATGGCGGTGGACCTTGGGACTGGTTTCTGTTTGGCAAGCGAGCTTGATGGTCATTCGGGAAAGGCCATGGAAGCCACCTTTTGTCGGATGTGGAGCCAAACTTTCGGAGCACCCGGCACTCTGGTGCTCGACCTGGAGACAGGCCTTCAAGCAGGACTCGCACGTTTCTCCGAATGGCACGGGACACTGTTGCGTCCCATCGCTGCTCAAGCTCATTGGCAGCAAGGCGTTGTCGAAAGGTGTATCCGGACTTGGAAAGAAGTCTGGGTGAGGACCGTCGATGACAAGACTGTCACCCGGAAAGAGGCCCCACTGGCCATCACCTCGGTGAACTCGGCGATGAACACCCTCAGGCGCCAAAGTGGGTTCAGCCCTTCTCAGGCAGTATGGGGACGAGATCCTCGACTTCCCGAAGACCTCAGCGACCACCAGCTTTCAGAACACTTCCACCACGTCCTCTCCAAAGACAGAGTACAAGCACGGGAACACACTTTGCGCGTGGCCGCCAAGGAGTCCTTTTTCAAGGTCAAGAACGATGAAAAGCTTCGCCGCGCTCTACTGCAACGGACAAGAGTTTCTGGAAGCGACCTCGAGATCGGCATGCACGTCTTCATGTACCGGAAGCCCAAAGATTCTAAGAACTGGAAGTGGTTCGGGCCAGCTACTGTGATAGGGCGCGAAGGCGGGAACTACTGGGCTTCTTTCGCGGGCCGGTGTCACTTGATTGCCCCAGAGCACATCAGGATTGCGACTGGAGAGGAGATAGGAGCTGCTTTTACGTTGCGGGCGACAAAGGAAGACTTGGAGAAGCTCCTGGAGGTGCCCTTTGCCGACGAAGAGATCTTTGCTGGAGATGACGGCGACCAAGGCGACGACGATCTTGCGCTACCTCCTGGTGACGGCGATGCTATGGACGACCAGGAACCTGAAGAGGAGGGAACCGCTTTCCCCCCTGTAGCCAAGAGATACCGCACGAAAGGACCTCAAGACGCCGAGGACGACATCTTCGATGAGCTGCTGGTCTCCACCGTGGGCCCCAAGAACAAGGACCTCCAGACCGCCTACATGATGAAGCTCCCCAAGACGCCCCGCGCCAAGGAGAACGCTCTGGAGAAGGAAATTCCCTGGAGCCTTATACCTGAAGATCAACACGAGGGCTTCAGGGCCGCCGAGAGAACCCAGTATGACGAGCACATCCAGCACGATGCACTGGAGCCGCTTTCCGTCGAAGAGAGCAGGGAAATCTTGAGGACTAAGCATGACAGAGTACTGAGCAGCAGGTTCGCGTACAAGGACAAATTCTGGTCCAAGCGAAAAGAACAGCCGGACATCGGCTGGAAGCACAAAGCCAGGCTAGTGATTGCCGGGCACCGCGACCCTGACTTGATGAACGGTCTCAACACCCATGCTCCTACTGTTTCCCGGCAAGGAATCCTCCTCCTTCTGCAGATCCTCGCCAGCAACCTCCACCGTGGATGGACAGGCCATGCCGGCGACGTTTCAGCGGCTTTTCTGTGTGGCGAGAACCTCCTAAGAGAGCTTTTCCTCAAGCAACCCCGCTCCGGGCTTGGGGATCTACACCCTGAGCAATTGCTACGCATCAAGAAGCCTATCTTCGGGCTGGTTGATAGTCCGGCAGCCTGGTGGGGAAAATTCCGAAAGTCTTTGACGAGTACGAGATTGCATGGGGAGCACGGGCGCGTATGGGTGATAAGCAACTGCTCCCTGGACCATTGCATTTTCATTGTCCAAGAAGAGATCACTGATGGAGAAGGACGGCGAGTGCTACGAGAACCCGAAGCCTACATGGGGGTCCACGTCGACGATGTCCTTTTGGTGGGCGACAACGACCTGTGCCGCCTCATCCAGAAGGAGCTCAGCGCTCAGTTCCCCATCAAAGAGTGGGAAAGTGGATCGTTTGAGTACGTCGGATCCTACATTGACATCAAGGAGGACATGATCATGGTGTCGCAGGCGAGCTACACGACTACGAGGCTTTTCGAGGTGGAGGTGCACATGCAAGGAACAGAGCGACGAGGACCCCGCCAGCGAAGTCCAGAAGCACGACAATATGTCCTTGATAGGTGCTTTGTCATGGCTAGCTAGCCAAAGCCGGCCAGACCTACAAGTGGGAGTGTCGATGTGTCAGCAGAGGCAACGCGACCCCCTGGTCTCCGACATCAAGTTCACGAACCTCATGGCGCAGAGGGCCTACGAGCACCAAAAGGAGGGAGTGCGCATCTTCCCGATCGACCTCAACCGGGCGACCCTCCTATGTTTCCATGATGCACGTTGGGCGAACGCCCCACAAAACCAAGAGGACCCGTACTACAAGCTGACCCCCGAAGAGGACCAGCTCGGAATGATCACCAGTGGCCCTATGAGCCGCAGCGAAGCCCGAGCGAAGCGTGCGAACTCGAGCGTTTGCTCTCAGTTAGGCGGGCTCTTCCTCCTCGCGGACAACAAGGTGCTCCAAGGTGGAAAGCACAAGGTGAGCACTCTGGATTGGAGGAGCGGTGCGTGCGACAGAGTCTGCCGTTCTACGTTTGCGGCTGAAACCATGGCGTGCGCCACGGCCATCGAGACTGGGATCTTCATCAGCCGATTCTTGGAGACATTGCTCACCGGGAAGCTCGCGCGGAGTTCCTCACGGCTTCAACTGCGTTTTCTGAGCGATTGTAGAAGTCTGTATGATCATTTGATCAGGGACGGAGTTCCACGTGTCCCCTCCTGTAAACGTCTTGCAATCGACCTAGCCGCTATTCGTGATGATCTTAGCGAGGTCGGCAGAATTGCATGGGTTCCCACGGGTGCCCAAATGGCCGATCACCTCACGAAACCGCTCAAAGCGGCTGACTGGTGGCGGCATTTGTCAGATGGTCTAGAGTCTAGAGTTAACTTTTCGAGAGGACCCTGTATAGAATGTTGAGAGATTTCGAACCAGTGTAATTCTGTGAAGTTGCGGTTCGGTCTCTCGACCCTCTCGCCCCGAACCTTTTGTTTCGAAGGCACACGAGTGGCCCAAGCAAGCGGAAAAGGACCCGCACTTCGTGGAGGCGCCGGGAACCGTGCTTTCCGGTCTTAGTTGTAGACTAAACCTCGGCAAGCACTTTGTTTTTGAGGCTCTGAGGCCCACCGTCTTGATCTCGTCACAGCCTTGGCAAGTCTTTGAAGAAGCTCCCCCAATCCCTAAACCTAACGCCGCAAGCGTGACAGTCTTCTTTGAAGAAGCAAACTCCCCCAAACCCTAGACTTTTAAAGCTTAGACCGTGACAGTCTTCAACTCTGTTGACAGCCGTGGTAAGTTCTTTGGAGAAGGAGACTAAACCGTGACAGTCTTCAACTTCAGTGACAGCCTTGGCAAGTTCTTTGGAGAAGCTCTTGAAAGACGTCTTTGTGGGTCGAAGAAGCTTGAAGCAGTTCGTTTCTGGGGTCCGTCAAGCTTCAAATCTCGATTGCGTGACAGCCTTGGCAAGTTCCTTTGGAGAAGCTCTTGAAAGTGCTTCGCTCGGCCTAGGTCTCAAGTGTGCCTGTGAGCTTTCAGAGACTGCGTTCGGAGTACGGTCAGTTTTGTCCGCGCATGTTGTGAATGTCATCCTTGCGCAAAGACTATGCGTGTTTTCGAGCTGTCAGAGACTGCGTTCGGAGTACAGTCCGTTTTGTTCGCACATGTTGTGAATGTCATCCTTGCGCAAAGACTATATGCGTGTTTTCACAGCTTTAAACCCACAAAGCATCAAAACACCAGCGTTCCAGTGATTGCACACGAGTAACGTGTGGCCCGCTTGACAGACGGGTGCCCCGTACAACGCTAGAGCCCTCAAGGTTCAGTTCTTACTTCCCCGCGCTCCGTTTCGCTATTAATATTATAAACTGCCAAGCGGGGTGCAGGGACGTAAAGCGTGATTTCTATGGGGAAAACCAGCATGTGGGCGCCCCAGAGGGGGACGTAAGCCCAAAGGAAGCCCAAAGGTGGAGGGACGTAAAGTGTGGTTTCCATGGCAAAAACCAGCATGTGGGGATTTCCATGGGAACACCAACACGTGGGCGCTAGCGCGGCCAGCATGTCCGGATGTAAACGGCTTTTTTGGATAGAGAGTTTGACGAGGGACATAACCTGAGCAGCTTTAGGGGGACACAGCTCTTTCAAATCGCTTTCTTGGGCAGGAGACGCTGGAGCAACGTCTGGCGCGTTTGCGGGCTCGCAAGAAAACGCTTAAGGAAGAGAGCAAAGCAACCCAGAAAGCCTTGAAAGTCGCAAAGCAGAAGAAGCAGAGGCTGGACAGCTTGCAGCATGGGTGGTTGGGATCGTCTTGAAAGTGCAAGGCTTTTGAAGCGCGTGAAAGAGCTGAGCACGGAAGATCTCCAAGAGATCCTCCGCATGAGGGGTAACTCCTAAACGTGTAAGTTTTTCTGGTAAGCTGAATTGTGCGCGACATGTGCGTGCAGTGCGGCTGGATGCAGCCCAATGGCCGAGCAGGTGCCTCAACTGTAAGCCTGGGGAAAGAGAACAAATGTTCCTACTCTGCCGTGGTGCGCAGTGGAGCAACGCATTCGCTGAAGCAGGACATGATTCTTTACATGACAGCTGTTACCGCCAAAGCCTTTTGCTCAACTCTGTGGTCTTTGTCTCTGTGAAGATGGAGGCCCTTGCCGAGGCCTTCCGTGTCCTCTGAAACCCAAAGCTTTTCTAGGGGACGGGCGACGGGTCCCAGACAGTATTAATGCCATCCGTATGCTACAGTCGGTCAGCAGCTACAGGTGTGGCTCAGTACCGTGTGTACAGTTTGTACAGTGCTGCAGCAGAGCTTCTTGCTTCCGTGGTCCAGTTGCAGGAGTCTTCTGCTGCGGCGCCCGCGCCCCCGGTAACCACTCAGGACAGGTTGGTTTTACTGGAGAGTGGAGAGTCGTGGAGAGTTTGCAAGCCGGACGCTTTTGTAGTCAATGGCGGGCCGCGTAGACGCGCAATGTTAAGATGAACATGTTTGTTAAGCATCTTGGTGGTAAGGATCCACTCCAGAAAGTCACACGGGCTGTAGCGGCTGCGAAGAAAGCACTTCAACGTGCGAAAGCAAAAGAACAGCGTGGTGGCCTCACCCTCTACCAAATGACCGTGGCTATTACCGTCTTCCTCATATCTGGGTGGGACGTACTCGTAGCTGCAGCCTACGTGCATGAGCAGCTGCGCCGGCAGAGCTTGCCGCCAGTTGCGACGCCGTTCGTCGAGGAACTTGTGGAGCGTTCTGTGCTGTCAATGGATGTTAGCGCGTTGTTAAAGCTGCAGCAGCCGGAGACAAAGCGCGAACATGCTGCCTTTAATGCAGCAGTGCGTTTTTGGGCACAAGTTGAAGTTACCCGTTGGGTTCGCTGTCAAAATCGTGAGCGTGGAGTCGCCCCAACGTTGAAACAAGCGGCTTTGGCATTTGTGGTCTTCTGCAGGCGCGTGGGCGCGTGTGAGGTGGCTGACAAGCTGGCCGCTTCCATCGAGGATGGGCGCGCTTGCCACGATCGCGGGAGGGCCGTGCGCAAATGGGGACAGCAGTTTCGCCTTCGTGCCAACTTCGTCCTGCAAGTGCCCAAGCCTGGTATGGACTTGTCTCCAGAAGATGTGCGTTGCAAGGCCAGGGCACCCAAACTGGTGACTTGTGGGTCCCGTTGTTGAGGTCTGTTCTGTCCTCAGAACCAAGCCAGTTTTGAGCACGTAAAGCCCGCGCTATGGCCTCTAGAGGGCTCCCGGTGTTCCCCTTTTGGGCTTCGGGTAGGGGCTTTTCTTCTGGCGGCAGGTTTGCTTATTCTGGCAGCATATCAAGCACCTTGAGCAAGTCTGGGCGGGTGGTGCGGCTATCGTCGTCAATTTGGACGAGACTTCCATATGTTTGGGGGGTTCCAGACCGAAGGGTCTGATCGGCAAGGGATTACGTGGCAGGATTCCCATGAAGGACAAGCGTCTTCACAAGGCTTTCTGTACATATGTGGCATTGATAACGACGGACAGTTCCTTACAGCCACGGTTGCCACAATTCTTACTCAGCAATGGGAGGTGGCTCTCAAAGAGAGAAACAGCCGGAGCAGCCACAGTACTCAACCTGCATCTGCGGATGGCAAAGACGGCGTGGAGTACAGAGGAAAGCATGATGTGGATTCTCGCCACTTTGAAAGCCGCTTTGTCTGGAGTTGACAAGAAAGTCCTTCTGGTTTGGGATACAGCCAGCCCGCACATCACCAAGAATGTCCTCTTGGAGGCTCGCAGATTGAACTTTCGGGTTGTGCCCGTGCCCGCCGGCCTGACAAGTCTCGTGCAGCCCCTGGACACGCATTGCTTTGCCGCAATGAAGCGCCGCATACGTGAACGGTATACTCAATGCCGGTCTGCTGGAGATTTCAATCCTCATGCGTTCTTGAAGCTGATGTCCGATATCTCCAGTAAGTTTCTGTGCAGTGTTCGGTGGGCCACTGCCTTTGAGCAGGTGGGTATTCTGGATTGTCCACATTCGCACCTCACGCGGGCTCTGCAGGAATATTTCCCTGACGGAAAACCGCCTCTTTCCGGCAACCCGTTGAGTCCAGAGGAGCTGCGGCAACTTTTGCCCAAAGGCCGACAATTTTGGTACAGACTTTGGTGCAGGGAAAGATTGGTGTTGCTGTAGCCTCCCGGCACTGCACGGGTACCAGGCCACGTCCCCCAGGACCGCTCCTGTTTGTGAAGCAAGTGCGGGTTTCAGGGTGCCTATGTCTTGGCAGTCTCTGAGAGGGCAGGTGCTCCGTCTTGAGACGTGGTTTGTGGGTGTCACCCTTGCGCAGTGGCCATGCTTATCTCTTGGTTTGTGCGTGTCACTCTTGCGCAGTTTTGTGCGTGTCACCCTTGGACAGCATGGTCATTGGAGCGGTTGATGTGTGTTGGACGCTTCTGAAGCTTTGTGGCTTGTACCAGGGTGCAACACCAAAACTGACAATCACGCTGCTTGCAACTTGCTTTAGGCCACACGGTTGACAGAAGTTGAGTACACGTGTCGAAGCTTACCCCTTCACGTGTGTCAAATGCCATATTCCCCCGAGATCCGGCGCGTGATTTCTCAAGGGATTACCGATTTGAAGGATATTTTGAC